TTCTGTTGTAAGTGCAGGACTTGGCCCTTGTACTTGTTGAATTTTATTTGATTGATAAGTTCACCCTGGATCCTAGACATACCCTCTAGAATGACTGCAACTACACCCAAACTGGTGTCCTCTGCAAATTTGCTAAGCATGCACGTCATCATCCAGATCATTTTTATTGTTTAATATAATCACTGGACCAATAACAGACCCCTGAGAAAAGCCACTTGACACATCCTCCCAATTAAACACTGAACCTTGATGACTACTCCTTGAACACAACGATCCAACCAGTTATGTACTAACCTTACAGTACCGTCATCTACTCCGTTATTATTTTAGCATATTCATGAGAATGTTGTGGGTGATGGTCTCTAAAGCCTTGCTAAAGTCAAGGTATATCACATGTCCCTGTAGTGGGACCTGGCCCTCAGGGGTGGGACACCCTCTGGTGCCCAAGTGACTTTGGCCCCACTCCAGCTCCTTTGACTACCTTGCCTTTTGACGTCACATGCAATATCTTGATGGAACTTACAGTGTTTAGGAAGGTTGCCCACAGTCCCAGAGTGAGCCTCAGTTTATCTTAGCCAGCTGGTACTTCCCCTGCCCAGCTGGCCCTAGTCTTGCCCCTCAGGCACTAAATTGTGGCTCTCCTGGCTCAACCAGTGGCTCAGGGAACAAGTTGCCTTAAGGGGACTCCAACCTCCCCTGCAGACATTACCATGCCTTACAGGTGTTACTTTGGGTTCCATCCACTGGGTACCCTGGCCCTGTCTGTCACGGTCCACTCAGCCTGCTGGGACCCTGGCTCTGGCAAGACTCTTGCTTCTTGCTGGGCCCCTCGTTTAGCTTCTGCCCCTTTTGGGCTTCAGCCCATTTCAACAAGCTTTAGTCCTCTTAGCCTACGCCTGTTCAGGTTTCAGCTCTTCCCTGGCTTTAACCTCACTATCATGGCCTTAACCCTCCTGGCCTTGGCCTAACTCCATCAGCTGCCTGGGCCCCTGGTTCCAAGATGGCTGCTGTTGCTCCATATCAGCCCTCAGTATTCTGGGTTCCTGAACCCAGGCCAAGCCGCCTTCACTATGTGTGGCCTTAGCCCTCCCAGCCTTGGCCTAACTCATAGCTCTGTACCAGTCTGGGTATCTCTGGAACTCAGACCCCAGGCTAGGCTGCTATCAAGATGGAAGCCAGGCATCCCTCTGTGGCTTCTATCCTCCCCTTCAGCCACAACCTGGTCCTTTGGTCAACCTTAAATGCAACATAAATACAAGCAAAACACCTCCAAACAAAAGTGCAGCACAATGCTGAGTTAAAGCCATACTTCCTCCTCCCTTAGCACTCTCCTTCATGCCCTCCCAGGTAGCTTGGGTGTCTGCCAGTCTGTCTCCTGCACCCCCTCTCCTCCGGAGCTCCTTTCTCTGTAACACGCGGAGCCAGACTGCCCATCTGGGTTCAGGCACTGGGCTTATCTATCCCAAGCCCAACCACTTCCTTTCAGAGAATCATAGAAAATTAGGGTTGGAATGTCAGGAGGTCATCTAGTCCAAGCCCCTGCTCAAAGCAGGACCATCCTTAACTAGATCATCCCAGCCAAGGCTTTGTCTACCCAAGTCTTAAAAACTTCTAAGGATGGAGATTCCACAACCTCTTTGGTTAACTTGTGCCAGTGGTTTGCCACCCTCCTAGTGAGAAAGTTTTTCCTAATATCTAATCTAAATTTCCCTTACTGCAACTTGAGACCATTTCTCCTTCTCCTGTTATCTGCCAGCACTGACAATAGTCTAGCTCCATCTGCTTTGGAACCACCCTTCAGGTAGCTGAAAGCTGCTATTAAGCCCCCTCTCAGTCTTCTCTTCTCCAAACTAAATAAACCCAGTTCCCTCAGCCTCTCCTAGGAAGACATGTTCCCCAGGCCCTCTAACCATTTTAACTGCCCTCTGCTGAACTCTCTCCAATTTACCTACATCCTTTCTGTAGTGGGGGGCCCAAACCTGGACATAGGACTCCAGATGTGGCTTCACCAGTGCCAAATAGAGGGGAAGAACTTCTTCCCTCCGTCTCCTGACAGCGCTCCTACTAAGGCAGCCCAGTATGTTGCTAGCCTCTTTTGCAACAATGCCAAACTGTTGGCTCATATTCAGTTTATTGTCCACTGTAACCCCCAGGTCCTTTTCTGCAGAGCTGCTGCCCAGCTAGTTGGCCCCCAGCCTGTACCGGTACATGGGATTGTTCCATCCTAAGTGCAGGGCTTTGCACTTCTCCTTATTGAGCTTCGTGAGATTTCTTTCGGTCCAATCCTCCAATTTGTCTAGGTCTCTCTGAACCCTCCAGCATATCTACTACTCTGCCCAGCTTGGTGTGCAGCAGCAGGAGTGGCGTGCAGCAGCAGGAGCTCCTCCCCTTGACCCCCTCCCCCCCTGTGCCCCCAGATGAGCTGTGGCTCTGTCCTGTGCCCACCCAGCCCTGTCTGGGCAATGCTTGCCTCAGCCCCTGCCAGGCTGTGCTCATTGCTGCCTCCTCGCTGTCAGGCTGTGCTCCTCTCTAAGCTGTCATGCTGTGCTCCTCACTTCCTACATGCTGCTCTGCAGCTGTGTGCATGCACGGGCATTTATCAGCCAAATTATTAGCCACATCTGGCCAATTTCTGATACAATCAATTTTCTTTATATTGTTCCCAATCCAATATTGGACCAATGTATCGGTGTGTCTCTAAGTATCACAGTAGAAAATCAAGTTTGTTAGATATGACTTACTCTTGGTTAATCATGCTGGCTATTACTGATTACCTTGTTCTCCTCTGGGTGCTTTGAAATAAATTCCTTGAGGACCTGCTTCATGATCTGTCCAGGTACTGAGTTCAGACTAACTGCTCTGTAATTCCTTGCAATCTCCATCTTCCCTTTCTTAAAAATGGGCACTATATTTGTTCTTTTCCAATTATCTGGGCCCTCACCTGGCTTCCACATATTCAAGAAGATTATAGTCAACAGCTCTGAAAGTACCTTAGACAATTTCTTCATCACTCTAGAGCGCATCCCGTCTGGCTCTGCTGACTTGAAAGCATCTAACTTCTCTAAGTAATCCCTAACCTGTGTTTCCACTACTTAGGCTGTTTGTTGCCTTCCTAATCTTTGCTTGTCATCTGGTAGCAGATTTATTCACGAACACTAAAGTAAAAAAGGCATTAAATACTTCAGCCTTCTGTATATCATTCGTCACTAGATTGCATTCTTCATTCCATAAGAGACCTACAGTTCCTTTGATCTTCCTCTTACACTAACAGAGGTGTAGAATCCCTTTCTGTTGCCTTTTATAGCCCTTGCCACTTTCATCTCAAATCGTGCCTCAGCCTTCCTCGTTTTCTCCCTGCATGCCACTGTGATACTTTTATACCCTTCCCTGGTAATATAATTAAGTTCCATTTATATCAGTGATTCTCAACCATGGTGCTGTGACACTCTGGGGTTCCTTGAAATCCTATCAAGGGTACTGCAGTAGCACATAACATTAGGACTGTTAGATATGCAAACATGATTCACAAGATAAGCCCAGAGATTTCAAACAGGAATCCAGTGTTAAAAACACTGAGTTGCAGTCTTTGAGTTCTTTGCAATAGAGGGATTGTCTTATTATTTTTCTGTAGTTAAAAAATGAATGAAAAACACAAGTTATCAATTTCCGAGTGGTGCCTTACGCCTAAGGAGGGGTACCTTGATCCTACAAAGTCTGAGTACTGATCTACATGCACAGGGCTATGCAGCCAGAAACAGAATTCCTACTTGTGTGCAAGTGCCAAAAATGTCAAATAGATTAGGGGTGTCAAAGAAATGGCCTGTGGAACTCTATCATCCAGTTCCTGCTACTGCCTGTGGGTCTTGAAGTTGACTCACAGGCAGCAAGTATTGTCCATTCCAGCCACTCTGAGACCATGTGTCTGCTCCATGCCAGATCTAATACACATCCTGAAGTGGTGCTGGAGCAGCCAGTGTGGTCCCAGAGTAGACGGTGCACTCCTGGAGTGGGCAGCATGGATTGTGTGGCCCCAGAGCAGCTGGTGCAGTTCCAGACCACCCAGCATGGACACTGCAGTGCATGCAGTGCCTGCCCCAGCCGATCCAGGACACAGTGCTGGATGTGAAATGGAGTGGATCTGTGCTGAAACAGGTGCTGTGTGCGGCATGGTCCCAGAGTGGCTGGGGCAGGTGTGGCATGCAGCATTGTCCTGGAACAGATGCTGCATGTGGTGCTGCCCTGGACTGGACACTTTGGGACATGCATGGCACATGGCATTTGCTCCAGGGCACATACTCAATCCAACATTGGGGGGCCAATCTGTGGGCCTGATGGGGCCCCTGAAGCCAGATTAGTTTGACACCACTGATATAGATGACTAAATCTAGACACTTAAATGACCAGAAAAGTAACAGAATGCCACTCATATTGTTCTACAGGGAAAGAGGCAGGCCAGCCTACTGTTTCCTTCCTTTGGAAAGGTCCTTCAGCTCCTCCTGAGCTCATGGCCAAATAACACATTTTAGTTTAAAGCAAACTATCCTACAAATTCAATTCTTGCAAGCTTTCAAGTGGAATAAAATTATTGCACAGTTGGATTTCAGTGAAAAACATACCTTTTCTTCCATAAAACATTTCACAATAATCAGTTTCTGAAACATGCTCAGCCTTGTGTCCCAGGGACCTTTTGTTAAGCCTTCCTTTTTTTCTTCTTCAACTTGGCCTGAATGATATGAAAGCTCAGAATCATAGCCTTCCCAAGCTTCTGGGTTAATGTGAATATCAAGGCACCCTAAAAATGACAGAGTTATTAGCAGTGTCATTAATTTATAACTCACCATGAAGAAATAGTTCACAATATTAAGATATTGAAGATGAAAAATTTAAAAGGCAGCAGCTTAATTATTCATACTTTTGGCCTCAAATCCCTTTGCACACAGTCATGGTGACTGTGTGCCCTGTTACAGGACTGTCTTGGACTATAAGATTTATAGGACTGGACTGAGGCAGAGATACTGTAAGCCCAATGTCTAGAGTTTCCACTCCTGAGGTCACACAATGATGTCAGGCCCTGAGCTTTAATTTTTTTTAAAAAAGGATGGAGAGAGAGAGAGAGAAAGAGAGAGACAGAGAAAGAGAGAGAGGGAGAGATTTCTCTTCCTTGTGATTACAAGAAAAACTTGAAAAGGTAACCTGACTGCAAGTGCTCATCAGATCATCTGACCTGTTGGCCCTGCCAGTGTACATGTATGTCAGTGGAATGCTATGGTAGCTGCAGTCAACCCATGCAACATTGTCTACCATCACTGAGAACAGTCTAGCTCCATCTTCTTTGGAACCACCCTTCAGATGGTTGAAGGCTGTTATTATACATTTCATTTGTAGAGACAACATGTCCCTTTGTTACTGCATATGCCTTGCTGGGAGAGAGGGAGAGAGATTGAGAGGACTCCAGCTGCCTTCTCTGCTGCTCCTGAAGGGAGGAGACTCTTTCCTGCTCCTCTGAGAAGGAAAAATCTAAAATCTATGTCTGCTGCTCCCAGAAGGGAGACTGTGCTGCCCACCCCCACCAAAGCAGATAGGAACATTTACTCCCTACCTCCTCCTCATCCCCACTGCCATCTTGAAGCTTTGGAAGAGAAGGAGACCTCCTCTCCATACAACCCAATGAGGCATGATGGCAAACCCCCTCCAAATCGGTAAGGGCAGGAATGAGAGCAATGGGGAAAAAAAGCAGTTATACAAAAGGAGAAAAGGCATTATACCAATAACAAGCGTGTTAGAAGTTTGACTAAGTTACTTCTGAAGGAGTCACTATTGATGATGTTGTTAAAAAAAGATTAGATAAAATACAAGCAGAAACCATGTAGAAGATAGTCTTTGAAAGAAAAGCATGGGGTAAAGGAACAGGCCTTTCTAAGAGACATTCTTAATTTTTTATCAAATTACCTATTTTAATGAAAATGTGCCTGGAAAGTATTTCCTTTTGAAGGCCTTTAAAACATGGGAGCATTTCCTCTAAGTCACAGCACATATACCACATGGTGTCTTCAAGCCAGGGAACATTAGGCTTAGATGGCCGTTCCTGTTGGACAGATAAAAGGCTCAGTGAAAATATATAAGACAAAAAAGGAAACATAAAAATTAAAAAAATATGAAGACATTTTACTATTCAATGCAAGACAGCTGCAAAATAATCAATTTAATAATTACTCCATTCAGAAAAGCATTCAAACATATGCTTACATATTAATGTTACATATTAATGTAAAAGCTACCCCCTAGTGCTTTTTTCAGGATATCAGTTAAGCACACACTCAACTTTATGCATATTTTATGTCCCATTGATAGGCATGACTGACAGCCTTTAGCATAAAATACTGCGCTGAATAAGAATGCTTTCCTGGACTGGGCCAATAAGTGAAAAATACCTAAAAAAAATTATCTCAAATATTTTCTAAGAATTAGCTGTTTTGCAAGTTGGAAGAATATGTCACCAGTCACACAGACAGCTTCCTCTCACTATCTACTCATCGCTTTTTTCAATCAAAAATCTAGAATGATTTAGAGTTTTGTTTGTCATAAATCTGCGCGAAGCGCACCTTGTCTAAGCCAGCAGCTCCGCGGAGGAAAAAATTCCATTCTGCATCTGTAAGTTCCTCCCTCTGTCGCATGATTTCAATACACAGCATAAAGCTGTAGATGAGTTTGTGTTCCTCAAAAAGGCCCCGAGATACATTTATGTAAGTTGCATACAGAGTCTGATTGAGCAGTATTGCTAGGCGCTGCTGCAGATTATCATTCTTTTCAGATGTCTCAATGGTTGTATTAAATAACTGCAGAGGAAAAAATAATAGCTTAGATGAGTTGGTTATTAATAGTTAATAATGGGTGTACTTTAAGTAATTCACACAACTGACTAGAAATGTAGTTCTCAAACCTGTTCATATTGTATGCTACTTTTTAAGCCGGCAGTTCTCTTATAGGCTGTGTTTAGTCTCAACCTTCCATTAATTTCACATTTCTACAACAGCAGTAATTCATGGAATTATGAAGCGAACAAGAGGATAAGCTGTACGAGCCTATTATGTTCTGATTTTGCACTGTACTATGCTCCGATTTTGCTATGACATGGAATTATTCACTACTATGATACACAAGGTGCTGTGGACTGCAGGGAAATGCTCTGCAGGATACCAGTGTTCTGCATCCCACTATGGCAGAACCATCAAACCAGAAAAATAAGTTAAAGAGTTGCATCCTTTTATGGCCATCATGCTCAATAAATGAGTATGAAAATAACAAGATCTGGGTTCTTCTGAAGATTTCTAGTGTGACCTTTAAAAATTGTTTATATCAAATATTATAAAACTTGGTTACTTAAGTGCCAAATCAAAAAGTGATCTGCTTACTGCTCAGCAGTAAGTTAAGTCTGTTGACTTCAGTGGCAACAATAGCATTCGAAAAAATAGTCAGCTTTTCTTTAAACTAGTAAATGTACCACATTTAACAAAATCCATGATGACTCTGAATTTAAGACAAAAGACCATAGGAGGCAAGTGCAGGGAAACACGGCAGCTCTGGCTGCGACTGTGGCTCTGGCTCTGACATGCCAGGGCCAGACCCACAGCAGCCACCTGCCCCCTCATCATCTTGTACTCAAATCAAAGACAAGGGGACTTTTTTCCCCATGTTAAATTGGGGAAAGAATTTTGTCTTGGATACAAATAAATATGCCGATATATGCCTAAAATCAGTATTTGGTACAATGCTTGGGAGTTTTGTAACTACTAATTTTCTAACCATATCATAATCAAATGAGAAACAATGGATTTTCTCTCAATGTAATAAATCACCATCACCTTAGTTAGTTTGGTTTATGCTTATTACACTATTACCAGAGGTTTATGACACACCCTCCTTTTGGAATAGGGGCCTAATATTTTTGCTGCCAGTGTTTCAGATAGTGATTGTAAAATCATATCTGTACACATCCATTTAATTGTTTTATGCTTATCTTAGTAATAATGTTTACCTATAAGAAAAATTAAACCAACCTGCTTAAAATATTTTAAGGAAAATTGATACATAGGATCTATCTCTGACAAGCTGGCAATTACAAAGTACATGACAGATCCACGAGTGGCAACAGGGCGGTATTTTTCACGTGCTGCATTTATCTTCTCCTCAGTTGTTTCTGCTTCTTGCAGTCTTGATTTAATGGCACCAGAGGTAACCTGGAACAAATGTTTTCAAAGGTATTTGAGAAACATATTTCTGAAAATGAGGGCTGGAAACACTATAACAGCACTAGTGGTTGCATGAACTCCAAAAACATGTGAATGTCACTTCATACCATTCCATAAAAGTTCTCCATACCTCTTTTTAATCTGCTGCAAGTAGGAAGCTCTGGGTCCAGGAATGTCTCTGTCTATAATGCCAGACACTATATACTTTTGGGGAAAATAATGGTACCTTTGATAGTTTACAGTATTTAAACCAATCAGTGGTACTGAACTGCATTTTGTGAATTTTGATGATGAACAGTATGAGTTTACACCCAAGAACAGGAAACAGGTTTTTAGCATAAGTACTACTTCTGGAGAACAGGAAACTCTGAGACTTTCTACGTTAAAAATTCTGAGTAAAAAAAACCCCAAAGTAAAAATGTGTTTAGAATATCTGAAAAATAACTAAAGATTATCGCTGTACACAAGCCAAGACAACATCATTATTCTGAGTGGTTTTGGGGATTTAGAGGGAATGGGAAACAAAGGGCTTGCTTAAATTTATGTTGGAATAATAGTCTAAATGCTGAATACTTAAAATTAAGACCAGATGCTAAGCTTAGTATTTGCACACACCTGTAAAAATCTGTCCCAAAATTCTAAATGCAAATAACAAGTAACTGCAGGGTCTGATTCTCTGGCTTTTACTTGTGTCAGCTTAATTTATTAACTTTTGAGAGATTCACCACTGTCCTGTTGGTCTCAGTCCTGACCTACAAAGACCGCTTTTAAGAACAAAATGGTAGTTCATTCTGGGCACACCTACACATTCATTAATGTGCCATAATTATGGTGCCTTAAGTTTAGTACCTGTAATTACAGGTACTAAAGTTAATGCACCATAATCAGCACTACTGCACATTAGTGCCTGTGCACATTTTTTTTGTGATGCTAAATAAGGTACGGTAGACTAATTTTACTGGGCATTATTATGGGTTTTGCCAGTCATGCTAATACACAGTAGAATTAGTCTACTGTGCTTGAAGCATCTTGTATAGACATGTCCACTGAATGGCTCATTCCATACCAAGCTGAGATTGCCATTAGGCCAGATTCCCATTTGGCCAGAATCTGTAGCCCTATCTTTGTTGGTGGGCATTTAGATGTGTATTCTACTAACCCCAGGGAAATAAAATACAAGCCAGCATGAGCACATGTGACAGAATGTAGCCTCATTGACCAAAATGAAACCACTGAATAATTATTACGATGAAAATTTAAATAAAACAAAAGCATGGGTCAGATTTAGAGTAGCTACCAGTCCATGTTAGCTTTTATCAACACCTCCCACACAGTTAAACATCTATTCCCTGGAAGAAACTGTGGTATTTTGTATACCAATCTGTGCAAATTTTGGCAAATGCTGACTTTTTAAATGCCAGCTACAGTAGCAGAAGACTTTTTATACGAGCAACAAGCAAGCAAGGACTTTTGGAGGGGGTGTATACTAGAGATGTGCAAAGTGGGCCCTATTTGATTCAAATTTGGATTTGGCCCAAATCAGGGAAAGTGATTCAATTCATTGATTTAGATCACTGTCCCTGATTGTATTCTGCCAAATCTGAATCTGGAAATTCGATGCTGATTTGGAGAATCAGCAATTCCGACACAGACACAGCTTTAAACGTTTTTTCTACATACCTTGAGGCAGCAGGTGCGGTTCGTGATCGCTGCAATGCTGGGCTGCCTGAAGTATCCCACAGGAGTGTGGGGGGTCCTCCACATGCTTGGCGGTGAACCCAGAAGTGGACTGGAAGTACTTACAGTCCACTTCCAGGTCTACCAGGGAATGCGCTGCCCCCCCCAATGGCAATCAGCCACAGGGGGACCCCAGGTGTCAGACCCAGGACGCACTAGTCGCTGAGCCGGGGAGGCGTAGGGGGAACCCCCAGTGCAATCCCCAGCAGACCCAAAAGTGGACCAGAAGTGCTTCCGGTCCACTTCTGGGTCTGCTGCCGAGTGCGCTGAGAAGCCCCCCATGCTTCTGTGGAACACTCCATGCACCCAGCACTGCAGCACTCACAAGCCCCTGCTACCTAGAGGTATGTAAAAGGAACATTTAAAGCCTTGTCTATGTCCAAATTACTGAATCTTTCCAAATCTCTCCGAATCAATTCGAAGGGTTCCAGTTTAATTTGGAGAGGGTCGTCTGATTTGAATCAGATTTGGAGATTTGGCCACCAAATTGGGCCGAATCTCCACTGAATCAAATCAGGACTGAAGTTTCGCACAGCCCTAGTATATGCTGCCTCTCTCATCCACAATACTGAAATGTTTTCAAAACATTAACAAAATCCATTGATTGGAAATGAATGAAAGTAATTAATTTGGACTTTCAAAATGGGGTTATATTGGGACTTGTGACCCCCTAAGCTAGTCTAACTGTATTAAATAGATCTGGGTTTTAAAAGGTCAGTCTGTTATTCCAATCTGTAGAAGTAAATCTATAAAGAGGAAATATAAATGTGACAATCCATTCCCTCTGGAACTTTCTATACAGTTAGATAAGTCATTTTTAAATTGCAACAAGGCATTGTAATTATGTCTCCTGCCTTTGATTCCTGCAGTGTGTTGATGAGTTCTTCATTGTCCAATATGTTTCCCTGAGAAGTAAACAACATTTTCAGAATTTTGTCTTCAATGGCCTTCAGTTGATTTTTATCAGAATTGATTCGTACAATGAGCTGGGTTCTTTGATTCTCAAGATCAGGTTTCTCCAGTCGCACAACGTCACTAGGAAAAAAAGTTCAAGTTTTTGATTGACAGCTCTTCCACCTCTCTTGCTCTTGCCTTCTTTTTGTTTCCTACTGCAGTCTATTCTCATAAACCTTTCCAAACAGCCTAGGATCAGATCCTGACCAGCAATTCCAGTGGTACAAAGGGACAGGCCAGATTCCCAGCTGACAGGACACTGTGGATTCGCATGACATAGCATACAACTCTGGGTGGAGTATGTTACTGGGCAGGCTGTGGGTGAAAACAGTATGTAATTCCCATTCACACAGGACAACTTATAGAAGCCCTGACACTACTCTAAGTACAGGTTAGCTGGACTGAGGGATCTAGTGTTCTGATGTGAAAAGTGTGTGCATCCCTTAAGTTTGTAGGGGAAGATAAAGCTATTACAATAGCAAAGGTGGAAGATAGCAATAGACTTATCTAACTTGTTTGTAAGTAGGAAAATTCTGCAATAGAAGTTAAAACATCATTTTTTGTTAACTCTTCACCATGATACTTTCTGTTCTAAGAATGAAGCAAATGCCTTGGTTTGTGTTAGCTTTGGGAGGTAAACATTGTTTAACATTGTTCGAGAAAATTATTCTGGCACACATCCAGGAGGGGCCAGCAGGGGACTGCATGCTTAGGGGCAACCAACATGGGTTCATCAGTGGCAGGTCCTGTCAGACCAACCTAGTGGCCTTTTACGATCTGATCACCAGATCATTAGATGCAGGGGTAGCAGTGGACATAGTCTTCCTGGACTTCCGGAAGGCTTATGACACTGTCTCTCACCCCATTCTCATTAAGAAAATGGGAGGCTGTGGCGTAGACACCCACACAGTCAAATGGGTTGCCAACTGGCTGGAGGGCCGCACCCAGAGGGTGGTAGTGGATGGGTCCTTCTCAACTCGGAAGGACGTGGGCAGTGGGGTCCCGCAGGGCTTGGTCCTCGGGCCCGCACTGTTCAACATCTTCATCAGTGATTTGGACGAGGGGGTGAAAAGCACCTGTTCAAATTTGCTGATGACACTAAGATGTGGGGGGACGTGGGGACATTAGAAGGAAGAAGCAGGCTACAACCAGACCTAGACAGGTTACAAGGGTGGGTGGATGAGAATAGGATGGGTTTCAACACAGACAAGTGCAAGGTGATGCACCTGGGGAGGAACAACCGGCACCATACCTACAGGTTAGGGAACTCCCCCCTTGTCAGCACGGAGGCGGAAAAGGACCCTGGAGTCATCATTGACTCCAAGATGAACATGGGTCAGCAGTGTGGGGATGCAGTCAGGAAGGCCAACCGTACCTTGTCCTGCATCCACAGATGCATCTCGAGCAGGTCCAGAGAGGTGATCCTCCCACTTTATGCGGCACTGGTCAGGCCGCAGTTGGAGTACTGCGTCCAGTTCTGGGCGCCGCACTTCAAGAGGGATGTGG